AAAAAAAAAAAAATGCGTCGAGTAAGGCTGTTTGAAAAATGATTTGAACACGAGGGAAAAGCATTAGAAATGGAAATTCGGGATTACGAGGGATATCGGTAGGACTTAGCCTAGGATCGATATCACGAAGGGTAACAGAGGTTTTCGTGCAATCGGCTCGTATAGTTCGTGTGAATTCGATCTATTTTCGTCGAGCAGGCTGGCACCTACGCAGACGAAATGGCGAAACTCGATATCAGTCTCGTCTTCCCTCGTTTCGTTCCTAGATTCATAAATTCTAACCGGTGTGGTTTATCCAACAGAATTTTTCATCGACGAGCTTCGCATTGAAAAATTAAACGGATCAAGTTCAATATTTACGGATGAATTCAAATGACATCCAATACGACGTTGGATTTAGGTTATACAGGTATCTTATTTAAAATTTTTCATTCGAATAATTATAATCTGTTGAAAATCTGTTATAAATTATTATTATCGAAAAATTTATGATTCCATTTAAAAAAACAAAATTGAGATATATTATATGCTTTATTTATTCTATGCTTACTTAAACGAATATCATTTATAAGTAAATCAGATATTCTTTAATTTTTATTTGATTGATCACGTATAATTTCATAGTTAAAATATTCATAAATTATTCGTAATTACAGATTCAATTAAACTTGGAAATTCTAACAAACAGTTAGAAACTCTCATCCACGCTCACACAAGTTTAAATCTAAGAATTTTACAATCGGATTCGAATCACGATTAATAAGAATGTACGAGGAGTCGGTTCAAAGGGAAAGTAAGTGCTTCGTTCGATCATAGGCTTAATACACGATCTCGAGAGAAGAGACTGACTGCATTCCGCGGATGCAAAAGCGCATAGCCGACCAGTGACGTTTCACTATCCCTCTCGCGCGCTTTCTCTTGTGCGCGATAGAGCAAAGCTGATGGATTCAAGCTTTTTCTAGTCGCCACCTGCTCGCTTCTCTAATTACGCCGCTCACGCACCTTAGATTTATTAATCATCACGTTTTTGCCATCATTTGTCGGCCGCTCCTTCACTCTATCAATCCAACGCGTTCTTCAATGAGATTCACGATTCAATTCACGATTTTTATATCGATTTTTATATCGTGAGAGAAGTCGAAATTGATCGAAGTTTTCTTCGAAATGACAATTAATCATCGATAACTCAAACATATTGAATGGATGCAGAAGTTCTATATTGTTCATTCGATTGTATGACTTTTTTTATTTCTTGCAAAGTATTTTTTTGCAACTTTAGAATCTATAAAGTTCAAACATGTTTTGTAATAACGTACAAGTATGGTAATATATTTTTCTCAAATTTATCTAATATAATTATAATATCAGAATATCATAGATATCTTTCATTTCAATTGTTAGCACAAAAAACGAAAAGTCATCATATTTAATTACCTTTCGATCCGTGCATAAAGCTTATTATTAGGTCAGATTTTTTTTGCAAAATTAAATTTTTGTGAATATGACCAAAAAAATTGAATAAAGAATTTGCTTTATTCCTCAAATATTTTAACTTGCTACTGTACTTTGAATATTTTGTATCATTTCGCATATTATAAATATTCGCAATCTACTAATTAAGATAGAAGAGATTAAACAATTTTGAATATTTCATTATAGTCTTAAAATAATAATCATTTTATAAAATAAAACGAGTAAATCTAACAATAATACGACTCTCAAAGTAATTGCAAAGTAAATTAATGATTTTTCAAACATGTTTGAACTTGTCGCAAACGAATAATAATTAATCTTGATAATTTTTCGGGAAACTCGAGTTAATTCGAGAACCGGCAAAATTTTTGAACCCAAATATTATGACAGCACGACGAGCGCTGTGCCCGCCCACCTATCATTCAACCGAGATCAACTCGCGTGGATCTGTTCGCGCGAGCCTTCCCAATAAAATATGTATCGGTTTAAATCGGTAGGCGTCGCCTTATCGCCGGCACGCGTGTCACATTTTCGGCTCGACGCTGTAATTTTTCTTCTTCCCCGCGAATTTCTCTCCTTTATTTTAATAATCGAGTCGAGCCATACCCACGGGCTTCCACGAAAGTTCGTCCTCGATATTACGACGGATAAACGCTCGACTCGCACCGTGTTCGATAATTGGTATCGATTGGGTCTTTGCGAATATTTCTTCTTCTCTTTCTTCCTTTTTCCATCCAATTTTTTTTTTTTATTCTTTTCCACAAAGGCCCGTGGAAAGAATATTTGCTGGAAATTGTGTCAAATTGGAAATTGGAAATTCAATGTCAAATCATCGATTTTGTTGCTATTATTACAAAAATATTCGAATACCGTTGAATGTATTAATTTAAGTGTATAAAAAGAAAAATTGCAGGAAATATCTTCTGTTCGAGTAGAGAATTGGTAATCGGTAGTTGAAGTTTGAAGTAGCGATATCTAGAATTCGATCTTTAACGATATAGTTTAATAGTCGAGCAGTAAGAATGCTAATCTACGCTTAATGAAGTCTAATCACCGATCTGTTACAAGTTATAATAGCTCGTCTAGAAATATATCGCGGCCGTAAAGTTGATCAAGCAAAAAATCCCAACTCGTACCGATTACCACCGACAACGTTATATATATTCCATCGCGACGTCAATTGCACCGTCGATTGATACAACGATTTACGACCGCGTTACGATGTACGTATCTCTGTACCGAGACACATATATATATATATAAATATATATATGAATATATACACGTATATCTCGAGGAGAAACGCACTTGTGTTGAACGAAGGTAGCAACGTGGAGAATCCGGTCGATTAACGATCGAGCGGCCTCGACCCCCTCGGGAGATGGTGAAAAAGGGGGACACGGTCCCCGAAAAATAGGAGGAGCCACGAGGGCCATATGCTTTTCGCACAATATGTCGCGTTTTTACCGACCGAGCGGTGGGAGCGAATCCGGTCGCAGATGTGACGAGAGGAGAGAAAGAGGGCCGTC